GGCGGGACGGGACTCCCCCTCCCCCCGCGCCATGGACGCGCCCTAGGCGGGGCCGTCCGCGGCGGAAGCTCAGCCAGATCGGGCCTTGCGGGCGCTGCGCTGCCGCCGCCATGATCATCCCGGTCCGCTGCTTTACCTGCGGCAAGATCGTCGGCAACAAGTGGGAAGCCTACCTGGGACTGCTGCAAGCCGAGTACACCGAGGGGTGAGGCGCCGCACCGGGCGGGGGTGGGGAGCCGGGGTCGAGGGGTCCTCGCCTGCGGGGGCGCGGGGCGACGTCTCGTTCGCGGGTCAGGGGTTGCGGGACTCAGGGGCGGCGGTGGGGGCCCGGGGTAGAGGGGCCGCGATCTGTGGGGCGTGGGCGCAGGGGCAGAGGACGAGGTCGGGGGCCGCGGTGTGCAGGTGGGCTCCTGCTGGGTGCGGGGGCGAGGGAACGGCGGGCCGGGTCTCGGGGCCCTGGCCAGGCGGCGGGCGCTCGTACCAGACTCCAGGTGACGCTGCAGGGGCTTCCCCCCGCCCCCCAGGCTCTCTCCCAACCCTCCTTTCTGACCTGCTCTCAGGAAAGCGTTGCCACCACCTCGCCCCGCCTTGCAGTTTAGGGAGAGGAGGGGAGTTGGGCGTCAAGCCGCCAGTATCTTGGCACTTGTAGGTGTCCTTTTGGAAAGTCATGGCACCTGTCCACCTCAGTTAAGTGCTCTGCTTCCTCCCTGGCCACCTGCTCCCTAACCTCTCTCCGCTGTTAGACCCACCCCCTGTCCCCCAAACCCTCTTGTCCTGTGGGACGTAGAACAAGCTTCCTGGCCACAGAGCCGTGAGTAGCGGGTTGTTCTGGGGGCTTTTTTCCTGTCCCTGCCCCTCAGCACTGCAGTCACCACCAGGTTTGTCTGAATCTCTGTTCCCTCGCACAGGTGGACTCTGGGCCCCTGTGTGGACAGTCCCTTGTGCTGATCACATTTGAACCCTGGGCCTGGGGTGTTTGGGGGTGAATCGGGCAGAGGCCAGGGCTGGGCTGAGTGCTCGTGCCAGGTCTTGATGAGTCTGTTAGAGTGACCAAGCGTGAGTGAACGGCTGGAAGCCTGCACAGGACACCCCCCCTCCCCCGCGAGATGCCCTGGGCAGGAACCAACCAACCTGGCCTCCTCGGTCCCAACTTGCCATCTCTGCACAACCGAGCGGTGCTGTGGGAATCTTCTGGAAGCCTTTAGGGGGACTGGGCTGGGTCCCAGGCACATTGACAACTCTGATTGGCTTGAGAAACAAGAGAGAGATGGCTTCCTGGAGAGACTTCCCTCCCTGACATGTGGCGCGGGCATGCCGCGCAGGGCCCTCTGTCCCCCCAGGACTGCCTGGATGAACAGGGTGTGGTCTGCTCCTCTCACCGCAGGGATGCCCTGGATGCGCTTGGCCTGAAGCGGTACTGTTGCCGCCGCATGCTGCTAGCACACGTGGACCTGATCGAGAAGCTGCTCAACTACGCGCCTCTGGAGAAGTGACGTGGGGCGCCCCCGCCCGCCGTGCTCACCCGGGCGGTCGGCGCCTTGCCCCACTGCATCCTGCCCACCGCCTGAGGGTGTGTCTCTGCTCTGGAAGGACCTGTCCAGTAAAGGTCTTTGTAGAACCATGAGCACATCCTAACAGTTGGCCTGGCTTTGGGTGACTCCCTGCCTGCTGGTGTTTGTGTGTCCTGCCTCGTGCCTGAAGCTGCTTGGGGTGGACGTGGCTCTCGCTGCCCGGGGGAGGGAGAGCCATCCAAGTGGCAGCCATTCAGCAGGGGTGGGGGGTCTCCTTCTGGAGTGTGGGCTCTCACAGGTACAGACAGCCAAGAGCGCTTGGGTTTGGGGCTCCGGGACCCTGGCATGCCCACCCCCAGGTCCTGGGTGCTCTGTAGGCCAAGCACAGAGATCCTCACAACTTCTCCCAGGATATCAAGAACCAGATTTTCTGGGCCCTGAATAGAATGCCTGCTGTGGTCTCGGCGGCCCGTCCTGAGGGTCTTACTGCCAGAAGCTTCGAGGCTCCAAGCTCAGCAGGCCCCTTCCCTTGGCCAAGTCCCTGTGGAGGGGGAGAGGCAGTGCCCAGCCTCCACAGCCAGCCCTGAGGCCCTCACAGTGGGTTGAGGGCGGCCCTGAGGAGGCTCTGCTGGGTGTCAGGGTTCGCCAAGCTCCCAGTGCCCTGGGCATTAGCATTGAGTCCCTTGGGCCTGCCCGAAGAGCTGTCTGCCAGGGGCTTCTGTCCTCTTGCAGCTCAGGCTGAGGCTTCGAGCCAGCAGCTATCACCCTGGACGGGAGTCCGGCAAGCCCTGGTGCCCTCCAGCAGGCAGTAGGCAGGAGTGTGTGGTTAGGAGAGGGAGGCAACTTTCTTTGGCACCTTTTTCAGGGCAAACACTGCTGCCCGGACATGGGACACGGGGTCCTCTGAGGGCCAGTGAACAAACCTGCTGCGGGGGCAGGGGGAGGTAGGGTCTGACCAGGGTATGGGTCCCGCAGAGCTCGGGCCTCTCATGTCGGGTCCCAGAGGCTGCCCCCCGCCTTCCCTAATGGCTACATGGGCCAGAAGGGCGTTTGGAAACAAGCAGGTCCAGGCCATTTGAGGTCTCCATTGCCTCTGGGAGGCTCTGGCCCTGCCACCACTTTTCTGTCCCAGAATGGGCAAGGTTTCTCTGCTTCTCAGCCCGCCTCAGTGTCCCTGTGACTGGCCTCCTCTCCCTGGGGTCCTGTCCATCCTTGGCTCACACGTGGCTGCCCTGGAGCACCAGGATGTGCCGTCCTGGCCCCTTGTCCTGGCACTAGGTGGGTGGTTCTGTCCACCCTGCTGGCGGGGGAAGGCCCTGAGGACCAGGACCCTGTCTCACTGACACAGCTAAGCTCACGCGTCTGTTCCACAAACATTTATTGAACGCCTATTACGTGGCACAAGCAGTTTTGGCATTTGTGATACAGCAGTGAATAAAACCCACAAGCCCCCCGCTTCTGGGAAGGGGACAGGACAAGAGCAAGTGAACTGCGGCCTTTCAGTGGGGAGAGTGGTGGGGAAGTCCCAGCAGGGCCTCAGGGCAGCCGGGTGGGGGAGGGCAGCGGCACAGGACCCGCAGGACAGGGCTAGCTTGGCTTTCCCGGGAGTGGGCTGGGGGTCTTGGGCCCCGTGGCGGGCATATTCCCAGGCTCTGCCCCACCCAGCAGTGCCCCGCTCAGGCTTGCCCTGACCACCAGGAGGGGGTGTGTCCGGGGGTCTGGGAGCACCCGATGGTGGGCCAGCCCCTCTGGCTGAGCGCAGGGAACACCCCGAGACCCGCCCCCCCCAGGCAGAAGTACTGCTTCCCTGCTGTGGGCAGTGGAGGGGGGGGTGGAGTCTCAGGCCTGTGGTCTGCAGAGAAAGGCACTTGCAGCTCCCTCTGAGGGTAGGGGTCCCCAGAGGTCACGTGATGGCATGGGGGGTGCACAGGGGCTTGAGAACAGCCCCTCCCTGGCAGAGTGGGGAGGGAGCAGCGTCCTGGGACCCCAGCTCCCTGGCCCTCAGTAGTGTCAGCTCGTAGTCAGGTGGCGTGAGGCTGCGGCCCGCGTGGGCACCGTCCGGCACGCTCAGTAGCGCTCCAGCTTCAGGCTCCTGTACAAGCAGCACGTGAAGATCATGCCGAAGACCTGGGGCACAGGGCAGCGTGAGCGCAGCACAGCGCCAGCCCCATGGCGTCCCCTGCACCCACCAGGGCCTGTCCCGCCCCATCCCCGCACCTGCACGCAGCCGATGCCCACGCCCACGGCCCCGATGACCCTCAGGTGCTCCTGGATGAAGGTCTCCAGCTTGGTGATGCAGCCGCCCTGGCAGGGTAGGGGTAGGGGCGCTGAAGGCGGGCGAGTCCAACCCCCCCACCCCCGGGGCATCCTGGGCCCCTGGCTCCTCAGCCCCTCCCCAGGGAGCCCAGGCGCCTGCCGGCCTACCTCCACCTTGTAGATGTTGGAGGCGTGGTCCCGCTGCCCACAGCCCGGCACCAGGGTCTTGCAGCAGCTGTCGGGAACCACGCGGCCGCCGGCCTGGCCCGAGCGGATCCACTCGCTGTCCCGCCAGTCTTGGGAGTTGTTGCTGCCACAGCAGTGGAACTGCGGCAGGAACACGGCCCGGCTGAGCCCCCGTGGCAGGGACCCCCCCAGAGGTCCGGGGAGGCCCGTGGGGGTGTGCACACATCCCCACTGCGCCACCACCCACCTCCTGTTGCAGCTTGTCCACAGCACTGGTCACACCCTCGTGGCCTGGCTGGTGGTACCGCTTGCTCATGGTGTCCTTCAGGTTCTCCTTGAGCTCGGTGTTCAGCTGGGGGTGAGGTGGTGACAGCTCCAGCTGCACAGTCTCAGACCCCCCCCCCCCCAGGTGGGACAGGTGGAGGCAGATGCAGATGGGGAAGAGGTTCAGGGAGGCCTCCAAGCAGCACTAGGGCCCGATGCTGGCTGGGGAGAGGGGGCTGGGCTGGGAGAGTCACCAGGTGGCCATGGACAGGGTTGGGGACAGGGAGGGAGCTCCAGATCCCATGGACACTTTCATCCCTGCTGTCAGTCCCCACAGTGACCCAGCCCCACCCCCAGGGCCTGATGGCCCAGTGGTCAGCTCTGGAGCATGGGGGGATTGTGTCTGTGTGTGTGTGTGTGTATCCCTGTCTTCTTACACGGCACATCTGTGTGTATGTGTCCCTGCATGCGTGGACCTGTGTATCCCCACATGCACGCGTCCATCTTACTGCGTGTGTCCCTCCGTGTTCCTGTCCGTCCGGGCCCCTCACCTGCTGGTAGTAGATGTAAGCCAGGATGCCAGCAATGATCTCCAGCAGAAAGATGATGAGGAGCAGGATGAAGTACTGCGGGTGGGCAGGGACCCAGTTAGGTGGGGCTGGACACAGACCTCCCTGTCCCGTGAGGACTCCTAGTGTCCAGGCACAACAGAGCAGAGCCCCCAGCCTCAGACTCCAAGTGGCCACAGAGGGCTCCAGGCAGCAGGTGGGTGCTGGCAGTCCCCGACGCTTTCCCTCGGAACTGCTGTCTTCCCTCAGTGCGCCCAGCTGGGATGTGGGGGCTCGGGGCTGGACAAGTGGCCCGGGACCCCCCCCACCACAGTGAGTACAGCAGAGGCTGCAGTGTCACCCTTGAGCCCCGACAGTCCCTTCTTTCTCATCAGGGCCCCCCCAGCAGCCTGGTGGGGAGCCCCCCTCAGCTACACCCCCACCCCCACCCACCACCCCAGTGCCGGCCACGCCCCGCTAACCAAGCGCAGCAGGTTCCGCCTTTCCTTGAAGGTGGCACAGCAGCCCAGAACACCGGTCACCATGACGACAACTCCGGCCACCACCAGGATGTAGGCTGTGGCCAGGTAGGTGCCTGAGGCCAGCAAGCTGATGTAGTCACTCTTGAGGGCCAGCGTCCAGACACCCACTGCCATAACGGCCAGGCCAGCCAGCTGTGGGCAGGGAACCCTGGTCACCACCTCTGGCCCCAGGGCTGAGAGATGGGGCTGAGCTCCCAGGCCAAGGCTCCTTCAGGGACCAGGGAAGGGAGGGAGAAGGCGCCGGTGGAGGCAGGGGGAGGGGCGCCCACTCCTCACCCAGAAGCAGCAGTTGAAGGTGAAGAGCAGGTACTTCAGGCAGACGGTTCCGCATGTCGCCTTCTCGTTGAACTCCCCCATCCTGGGGCTGAGAAGCGAGGGGACATCAGAGAGCCCACACCACCAGGACCTGACTGGGAGGTCAGCCAGACACCAGTGGGGACAGCAAGAGGGGACACACATGCCCAGGCCGGCCCGTGGCTGAAGCCCAGCCAACTATCTGCCCCAAATGAAGGGCCCAGGAAGGTGTCCATAAGAACCAGGACGCTTCCTGGGAGAGCAATTCAGGAGCCTCATTCCCCTCTCCCCCTGCCAGCCCCCCAAACCCACCCCACGCAGCCATGGTGGATGTTTACTGCCCACAGCCAAGCGGAAGGCCAGGCCCTGGAGGACTGAAGGGCCTGGCTTCCTTGACCAGAGCCCAGGACACACGGGAGACATGGAGGACCCCAACCATTACCGGCTGACTCACCCCTGCTGGCAGCCAGGGTAGGAAGCCCCAGCAGGCACCTCAGGGTGAGCTCATGCAGGCCCCCCTCCCCCACACACACACACACAACATTCCCGGGGCTCCACATCACAGGCTGGCAGGGCCGCAGGCTGGCAGGAGCCTACCCGAGGCTGGAGGGGAGGAGGCCACTCAGACTGATCTGCCCCTTACTAGTGACGTGGCCTCAGGGAAGACCCTCAGGTTTTTGTTAAAGGGAAGGCCTGCCTTCCTCTTCACCAAGGTGAGAAGAATAGAGCAGAAACACATTCCCCAGACCTGGGGGGTACTTCCTCAGTTGCTCCTCATTAATGGAAAGGGGACAGCCCCCCCCCAACCGCAGCAAGACAAGAAGCTACAGGCTGTACTCCTCCCCAGTGGCACCCGGGGACACCCTGCCTGCTCTGCTGTGGGGTGTCTGCACTGGGGAGGGTGGGAGAGGGCCCTGGGGCACAAAGGGCAGCTGGACGCCCCAGGCCACGTTTCCAGACAGGCCCAGCACCACCCAGAGCTGAACTTTCACCCGCCTCACCCAGCACTCACCTGGCTGCTGGGGGCTACCGGTTCCTCTGTCAGACAGGTGTCCGGAAGTTCCCTAGGAGGCTCCGCTAGAAGGGCAGGGACAGGTTACAGGTCTGGCCCACGCTGGATAGGCAGGATCCTGTCACCCTTCCTTGTGGCCGCTCCTGGCAGCGGATCTGGAGCTGGGCTTCCAGAGTAGGCAGCGTCAACTCCCAGCGGCAGGGAGGGGAGAGGCCAGGCCCGGTATTTTGGTCTGGGCTTGGGTGGGCAGGGCAGAAAACATTTCTGGACAGTGTGATCCTGGGCGGGGAGGGATCACTCACTCCTCCAGGCACCCCACCCTGGGCCTTCCTGCCAGACCCGCCCCTGTCCCTTACCCCACCACGCAGCAGTACCTGCAGCCCGGGCAGAAAAAAGACGCAGCCCCGTACCACGGAGCTGGGGGTATGGAAGCCCCACGCGCCCGCAGGCTGGCCCTGGGCCCGTGGAGAGGTCCCAGCCCCCGCGGCCCGCGCGCGGACTACCGGCGGGGGAGGGGCCCCTCTTTCCGAGAGCGCCTGGCGGATGTGAGCCCCCTGGGAAAGCGCCGGCCAGAAATAGTTCCTCCGGCCTGGGACAGAGCTGCCCCACCCCAGCCCCTGCAACTCAGCGGGGCCGTCGGCGGCCGGGGCAAGACCAGGAGCCCCGCACTCCGCTCCAGCCAGGCCCGGGGAGGCAGCCGCGCGTCACCGCGGTGAAGCCGCCGCCCCTGGCCGGGCGAGCCGACGGCGCGCCCACTTGCACCCAGGCGGAGGGAAGGGCACCAATGTCCAGAGACAATGACGAAGGTGCTCAGATGGGGCCGAAGGGGCCGCCAGGCCTGCGCGAAGACCCAGGAGGCGCCTAGCCCCCGCCCCGGGTGCCCCTCCGCCCACCCGGCTCCCCGGCGTCCGGCTCCCTCCGGAAAGGGCCGGCG